GAGAGGAGAAGGAGGGGCACGGGGGTGACGGTGTGGGAGCCGCTGCCAGCTCCCGGCGAGCGTCGGCGCCCGGGCCCGAGGAGGAGGTGGGCCGGAGGCCAGGCCAGCTGCCGGACCCCCGACGCAGCCCCGGAACGAGCGGCAGCGGTTTCTGGCGAGGCGGGGAGGCGCTGCCAAGCCCCAGCCGGGGAAGATGTTCAACGTGGAGTCTGTGGAGCGGGTGGAGCTGTGCGAGAGCCTTCTCACTTGGGTATGTGGTGACTGGCGGGGCGGGGGACCCCCTCCCCCAGACCCCCGTCCGGGATCCCCCACGCCGGTCCCGGGGGGCGAGCGCCGAGGGCGGCGGTGCCGTCACATCCGGGGCCTGGGGCGGGCGGAGCCGGGGACGCCGGTGCGGGCCGCGTCCACCCCTGGCCGGGCCGCGCCGGGGGCGGGGGCCGCGGAGGCTCGGCCCGGGGTCCAGGGAAACTTGCCGGGCTCGAGGGTTGGCTGCTCTCCGGGTGGGGACCGGCCCGGCGCAGGCTACTGATGGGGCGCAGGCAGCACTGTAATTAGGGCTGTCGTTGTGTGCGGCTGGGGGGCGCTGCCCGCCTCGGGGACCCGAAGCGCTGGCCGTCCCCGCGGCCGCGCCGCCGGCGGGGGCTCTCGGACCGGGCGCCGGCGCTCCTCGTCTTTGTTGTCACGTCCGCCGAGGATGGAGCGTGGCCCCTCGAGGGATGAGCCGGCGCTCCGGAGAAGAAACGAGAAGTCCTGCTCAGGGAGAGTAGGGAAAATAGGACAAGGGGAGTATTTAAAATGAGAGATGACTTCAGCGATTAGAAAGTAAGCGGTGTGGAGGTATTTATTAAAGGTATTAATTAAAGATAAAAATAAATCTGGGAGGTATTTGGGAATCAGTAATGGAACTCGACATTTTGGGGCAACGTTGTGGGATTCTGATTTTAAGTTATTAAGCGCTTATTAAAATTCTCACGTTTTGGAGTAAATATGTGTTCAATTCTAATGCCAACGGTCTTGCGTTTAGCAGCCTCTTAAAGAGCTGAACACAAACCCTTGCTTGTGTGTTTCTCCGACTGTGGTTCCACTTCTTGGGTGGGCGTGTGTGTGTGTGTGTGTGTAGAGGTCTGCGGGATAAACTTAGTGCTTCGTTAGGGAGCATTCGTTTTACTCATTGCTAAAAATGTTAAATGTTATTTGTAGAATAAAACACTGATATATTTATCGTGGTGACTACCGTGTTTGTATTAATGTTAAAGGTAAAACAGATGTCAGAAATTCTGTTTAGCGGTGCCTTGGGTTACAAGTTCAGATCCTTGGAGTATAGACGTCACTCTCTTGTGTGGGGCACTCTGGTGGAAAGGTTAGAGAAGCATTGCCTTAGGTTGGTTGTAACAAACGTAATGCAAATAGTCTGAGATTTTCGTAATTTTGTTTCTCAGGAATCAAATTGTGTTTTCGGAAACAGAATATATACGATGGGTAGAGTTTGATATATTCAGTAACTTTTATATTAGGCCATTCTTGGGATTTCAGATTGTTTCCAGTGATAAATAGTTAACATACTGCTTACAGCTGTAATGGGTTCCAATCTCAGGCCGGGAGATGGGTTTCACTGCTGTATTTTAGAGAGAAAAATTGATAAGCTGCATAATGTGGCCAAGATTTGACTGGGGGGGGAGATAAAGGAAAGAATTACCACATTCTTTGATATTGTGGAAGAAAGAGATTTGGCAGGGGTTGTAAACAGAAGATTGAAGATCTTAAGATGTGCGTTTTTGAGTCTGTACAAATAGTGCCTTCCTCAATGCTAGAAAAAGAGGCAGGAGGGGAAAAATGAGGCAGCTAATTGAATCTGAAGTGGGGCTACATTTTTTAACGTCTAGAAAGATAAATCATGGAAACAAAGAAGTGTATGTGAAGGGCATCTGCAAAAAGATAATAGTGCAGTAATTTGAGAAATGCTAATAAAAATGTACAGGAAAAATCATAGAGGGAAATTTGAAGGGATACTAACAGAAGCACACATTGGTACAAGAGCATCTATTTAGAATCTGCTAAAATGTCAAGAAAACAGATAATCCAGGTTATCAGCTGTAGAGAGAGGTCAAGGAATATGTTATCATAGAAAAGGCTTTTTTGAAATGTCACAGGAAGGCTCATCAGGAAAAATTTCTAGAGAAGATTAGATTAGAGATTATCAGTGACAAAACTGGAGGGCAGAGTCCACACAAACATGTACAATTCTAAGATTTGGAAACAATTTAAAACATTGTACATTGAAATGTTTCAAACTAAAGTTGAGTTTAAATGCGGGGTTTGTTCTCATTTGTCATTATAAAATGCAGAGTAAATGTCTATGTGGAAAATGTTTGAGGTGGCTGAAAATGTATGTTTTAGTCTAGTAGCTCCCCTCATATCTGGAGGCCAGATTAATGCTGAACACAATTCCAAAACCAAATGTAAGGGAAAAAATGTATGCAGTACACTCCAAAAAAAAAAGATTCCCGTTTAGAATAATGTACTCTATTTTACGAAACCTTCTAGGCAACTTGGTTGTGTGGTTTCTTTGCACACAGCAGGTTAGAAGGTAACTGCAACCCTCAGCAAGTACAGACAGCTGTCAGTGATGGAGAAGACCCAGGGACTGGAAGTTCAGTCTGGTGAGTCAGTCTGTGAGCTGCCAGCCTCAGATACTTCAAGAAGCCTCCGTGTTCAGTTATTGAAGATCATAACTATGAAGCTGAATATCAAATAAAAGTTTACTTTCACTATATAGCATTTAGTTTGAGATAAGAGATATATAGTATATTTTAGAAATTCTTCTACTAGAAATGGTTAAAATAATAAAAGCTCAGGCACTTAAAGAGTGACTGTTAGTCACAGATGCAGAGTTCATTGCTGTGGAACATCTCATTGCCCCAAATGCTGGATAAATTGCTGTTTATCAGAGAGCTAGCTAGCCCTAGGAACAAATGTGTCAAATTTTTGTTGAAAAAGGAATAGTTATGAAAAGACAAAGTATCATCCCACAATGGAAAACATCTTAAGCTTAAATTCCAAATCAGAGTTTACCCAGCAAGCAAGTTCAGCAGGATGTGCTTGAAAATTTCCACTCTGCCTCCTCTCCCCACCCTCTGAGTCAAAATGTATTCTTACCTGTTAGAAAAATCTGCCCTGCCTATTACACTTGTCAAACCTAATTTCTTGAACTGTACATGAAAAGATTGCTCTTTCCTGGGTTTTAGAGACTGAAAAACCAGAAAGAATCTGGAATGCTATCAGTTAATGGCAAGAAGCCAAGTGGAAAAAGAATCATCACATGGGCCCAGTGCGTTTCTTCTGGGAACCCCAGCAACATTGACATATCCTTATAATTTTCATATTGTTTATTTAGCAGCCTATAAAAGGTATACTAGTGTATAGATTTAGGGAGGGTATAATTTTTTATGATAGTGTGGTCCCCATTCCATTCTCTCTGCTCTGCCTAACTCCTTTCTACCAACAATTTTTGTCTTATAATGGAGGAATAAAGAAATCAGATGTACAAAAGTTAAAGCATGTATTTTTTTAAATCTTTCATTTCCTTTTTTTTTTTTTAATCAAGGGTCTATGTAACATGGTAGTTAAGAGTATAGGTTCCAGGTTACCAGAGGGGCAGGGAGTAGGGGGAAGGCGAAAGGGATAAAGGGGCACATATGTATGATGATAGATAAGAACTAGACTATTGGTGGTGAGCATGAATGCAGTCTATACAGAAACTGAAATATTATAACGTACACCTGAAATTTATACAATGTTATAAGCCAGTATGATCTCAATAAAATATATATATATATATATTTTTTTTTTTTT